CCCCCCCCCCCCTCCCGCCCCCCCCCCCCCCCGCCCCTCCCCCATTGGTCACGAGCTACTGTCTGTCCCTCCCCAGGACCTGCGGGGGGGCTGCATGCTCCCGGCCCCTCCGCCTCCCCCCACCCCCAGGCCAGCTGGGTCCGAGAGGGCCGCGGGGCAGCAGAGCCAGGTCTGTTGCCTTCTTCAGCGCCACCCGCGCTGTGGGGGAGCGCTTGCTCCCCCCACCCCTCTTAGCCCCAAAATGTCTCCCCACTGTACAGGCCCTGCAAGGGAGGGGGCCGCCCTGGGGCTCCAGAAGGCCTCCTCCCCGGCCCTGGGCAAGGCCTTGCGGAGCTATCAGCCTCTGCTCCTCTCCGCAGCCCCTTGGGACTTGCAGGGGGTCCATGGGGGTCCTCAGGACCCCTCTTGCCACCTGCCAGTGCTTCCACAGCTCCAAAAGCGCCTTCCGTCTCCCGCCTCTGTCCCTCACCTGGGGGCCACGGTAGGGAGGCTGCAGGGACTGCCCATTTCAACAGCTGAGGACACCGGGGCCCTGAGCGCCATGGCCACCCAGGGCAGCCCGTACTGGTGGGCCCGGGACCCTTTCCTCCCCCTGCCCTGTGCTCGGCTCTGCTGTCCCCATCGGTCCTCCGAGGGCCTCAGAGAAGCAGGTCCAAGTGAGGGGGCCCTTGGCCAGGCCGGTCAGAGAGGACAGGAGGGGTGCCCGGGCTCACGGAGTGTGTGCGTGTGCATGCGTGAGTGTGTGTGTGCGTAGGAGTTTTGCTTTTAGACAAATGAAGACATAACGGGCAGCAACAGGACCAGGGTTGGAACCCAGGGGAGCAGGCTGGGGGCTACCACCTGCCCCTCCATTCCCCCCACCCTGCCCCCCTGGCAGGGCTCCCAGCCCCCACCCCCACCCCCTGTACAGACTTTTTAAAACATTTTTTTAGCGAATGAAATATTGAAGTATAAGATTCCTTTTATTTTTCAAACCAATGGGACTGTGCGTGATGTCCCCTCTAGGTCCGGGGGGCCCCTGCAGAAGGCAGGAGGGATGGGGGGCTGGAGGCAGGCTGTGTGCGTGCGTGTGGAGTGTGGGTGCGCGTGTCCACAGTGGGGCTCCGGTCCCAGCTGCCGCCTGGGCTCCTGTGGGTCTGACCAGCTCCCCCCTCCGCCTCCCTCCAGCACACAGGGCTACAGTTTTCTTTTAGGGTGTCCCCGGCCCATGGCTGCGCCCCGCTCCCAGGGGCAGGCAGGACCCACTTCCATTGTCGGCAGTCCGTAGAATGTTCTCACCATTCCTCTCCCCCCCCCAGTAAGCATTTTTGAGTTTATTTGTTTCTGTTTTTGTTTTTTTTTTTAGTTTTGCGTGAAGGCGGAGGGCTCTCACTTCCCCCATCCTCCACGGGTCTTCCCACCAGCTCACGTGTTCATCTCCACGACTAGTCTTCCCCGCCTCTGCCTCCCTCCCCAGCTCCTCCTGCCCCCCCCAGGCTGCTGGGGGTCCCTCCTAACATCTGCTTGTGCAGGAGGTGGGGGTTCTGGCTGGGGTTCCCCGCCCCAGCACCTTAGCCCCCTGCCAGCCTGCGTGTGTGTGGGGGTGGGAGTCGACACCCCCAGCTAAAGCACAAGCACCTTAGTCGCACCCCCCTACCGCCCCCTCCTGGCTTGACGCCCCACCTGGCGTTGATCCCAAAGCACACTGTCCTGGTACTTGGCTGGGCCAGCCCGGGGGAGGCCAAGGGGCCCCCAAATGGAAACGAGTTTCCAGGCCTTAGTGGAGTGGGGGGGGGCCGCCTTTGGGGCTGGGGTCTTGTCCCTCCCTGTCCCCCTGTCCTGGGGGGCCCCACTCCGAGCCCCTGCAGCACGCGGGTGGGAGGTACCCTGGCTCCCGGGATACTGCGTTGGTCTGGGGAAGGGGCTGGGATTGGGGTGGGAGGAGGAGTGGGGCAGGGGGTGCAGGGGAGGAAACTCCTCACCAGGAGAGCCAAAGACAGGGTTTTGCCTTACCCCAGGAGCCACCCCTGCACCT